CAAAGGTTTGGTTATGAGTCTTTGTATCTGCTTTCAAAACACTGCTAGTTAGAGTCTTTCAGATGTGTTCAGTAGACTCCTGTCATACGTTCAATGCACATCCCATCTGTCTTTCTAAACGAGGACTGATCATCTTACTCCATGTCTGCTCTCTTGATTACCTTTTTTAGGTTTGTAGAGTTCATCATGTTTATCGTATCTTATAGGTCTATATAAGTGAGTATATACCGTGTTTGTCTTTCTCCTTCTGGAATATTTCACTCAGAATGATCTTTTCTAGATCCCACCATTTGCCTGCAAATTTCATGATTTCCTCCTTTTTGATTGCTGAGTAGTATTCCATTGTGTAAAAATACCACAATTTCTGTACCCATTCCTCCGTTGATGGACATCTGGGTTGTTTCCAGGTTCTGGCTATTACAAATAAAGCTGCTATATACATGGTTGAGCAAGTATACCTTTTGTGTACTTGAGCAAATTTTGGGTGTATACCTAGCAGTGGTATAGCTGGGTCTTGAGGAAGCACTATTCCTAATTGTCTGAGAAAGAGCCAGATTGATTTCCAGAGTGGTTGTACCAGTTTACATTCCCACCAGCAGTGGAGGAGGGTTCCCCTTTCTCCACAACCTCTCCAACATGTGTTGTCACTTGAGTTTTTCATCTTGGCCATTCTGACGGGTGTAAGGTGAAATCTCAGGGTCGTTTTGATTTGCATTTCCCTGATGGCTAATGAGGTTGAGCATTTCTTTAAGTGTTTCTCTGCCATTCACTATTCCTCTGTCGAGAACTCTCTGTTTAGCTCTGAACTGTACTCCAATTTTTAAAGCAGGTTTACTCACAATAGGCCAAACTTGGGGACAAAATTCTTTTCAGGGGATGAATAGTTAACTTGTGACATTTCCAGATAATGAAATATTATTTCACCCTAAAAATAAGTTATCAAGTCACAAAAATATATGGAAAGAATCAATGTATTTATCTCTATGCATGTATGTATGCATGCATGTCTGTCTGTCTATCTATCTATAAACATACGTATGTATATGTCATCTATCTATCATCTATGTACCTATCTAACATCAATCTGTCATTGACCTCTGGGCGTAAGAAGGTAGTCTGAGAGCTGCATTGTGATTCCACTTATTGGACACTTTAGTTAACACAAAATGACGGACACGGTTGCAAAAATCTGAAAAAGAATGAGCAATAAACAGGAGCACAAAGAATCTCCTCTGTCCAAGTCCACAGAGGCACCAGACAAGGTGAACGTAAAGCTGTTTCCGAAGATCACGGCGCAATAAGGCATCGGCGGAACAAAGGCCACACTCTGGCAACAGAACTGACAGGTGAGTGAGGTTTTCACACTGTATACAGAAAACTCTCTGCAGCCTCCTCTTGATTTTTGTTATCTAAAATCATAACCTGACCCCAGAGAAATTAATTTAAAAAAAATGTGTATTCTTTTCAAACTGGGGAGATAGGTCAGTTGATCATAAGCAAGAGAATACCAATTTGATCTCCAGTACCCCAGTAAAAGGTGGGTACAGAGGTGTACAAGTACCATATCTGCTGCGGAAGCGAAGGCAGAAAGGTTACTGGTTCAGTAATGAACCTAAGCTCAAAAGGCAGATGATAATGAGGACCCCAGCATCACCTTCTGGCCTCCTCAGGGACCATTACATATACACGGATGAGTACACAATGCATGCACACAAAAATGCATAGAAGTAAGTAAACGTTAAAACACAATGTTAAAAATAGAAATCTTCATAGAAAACCAACCAAATCCCCACTTTAACCCATCATCTTGGTTCATTCACAGGATTACGGTTATCAGCATTTTTATATAAATGATTCAGTATTATAATGGGGGCAGGGAGACGAGTTTATATCAAGAGAACTTAAGGGCAAATTTCACAGACTCTGTATCTTGAAGGTAAGATTAAAGACTTTTAAATTTTCACTAGGGCCAGCATTTCTAGTTGCATTTAGACAAGTTGTGTAATATTTGAAAGCCAGTAACAATGGCTGCAAAGACTGAAAGTAATGATTCAAGCTAACAGAGTTGGGGGAAAACATGAAATCTTAACCTCAGACAAAGAACTATTGGCACCAAGAAATGCTGACAGAGGGAAGCAAAGCATTCTTCATGGAAGAGCACCAAAAACCAGTAGTCAGCCCAGAAAATGGACATACACGTAACATCACGGAGACTGCACAAGTTGCATTTATGTATTTTTGAGTATATGTGTATATACTCATATGTCAATAAAGAAGCAATCTTTGAAAAAGTCTGTGCTAGAACACTCTAGACCCATCAACCATGCCCTCTCCCCTCCATGCCTTCATGGGAGCCATGCTTAAATCCATGTGATGCAAACCCCTTCAATATTACTCTCAAATTTCTCAAATGACTCCATTTTTTTCTACTCATTTTGAAAGGATATTCTCTTTGCTGAGACATCTTCTGAGGGTACTGTCCCTTTCTTTCACTTATTTGCTTATAATAAAGCTTAAAACTTTTTAAGATTTCTCATCTTCTTTTGTAGTATCCCTGACTTCCAGGTCAGAGTCGGAGTCCATGATTGCTTACTCTATACTTGAGGACCCAAACAGACTATACACAACTTCAAGGTTTCATTCATTTCTGTGTGGTTCAGGGGACCTGCCTTTTTTTTTTCTTCCTTTTCTTTAAAGAAAGAAGTAATTCATAGTAATATGTGAATAACAATAGTTTTAAGAGTTGAAGGAAAGTGCTCTGGTAGAATGAAAGGGTTCCCCTCAGGACTCCATGTTTGTTGTGTTTGTTTTCAGGTTTCCTGGGCTAGGAATGTCAAAATGAAGTGGAGATGCCCTGAGGACAGAAATGTGAGGCTGAAGTACTTAAATAGCATTAGTCCTCAGATGGAATACCTTAAAGGGATTGTGAAGGCATGATAGATGGTATTTTCATAATAGCTGACCTTGCTCTGAGGAGCTTCACATCTGTCTATGGCAATTAGATTGGTGGAGGGATAAGGTAAGGAAGGCAGCTGAGGAAAAGACAGGATGGAGAAATGAAATCTAGTAAGTACAGAGTGCAATAATCAGGGAGATTAGCAAAGGAACAACCGATCAGTTATGTGAAAGGACGAAGTTAATCAAGCCTTATAAAGACTAAAAATGAGAGACTACTGGGTAGAGAAGAAATCAGGAATAGATAAAAGGGCCATATACTTAATTTTTAAAATTTATTTATTCGTTTATTTATTACAGTTTATTCAGTTTGTATCCCAGCTGTAGCCCCCCCTTGTCCCCTCCCAATCCCATACTCCTTCCCTCATCTCCTTCTATGTCCCTTCCCCAGTCCACTGATAGTGGAGGTCTTCCTCCCCTTCCATAAGGGCCATATACTTATTAAAGCAAGTTTTGGATATATTCAGTTTATGAATTTTTCCTCTATAGTTCATATACTCTACTATATATTATATTTTGTGTTTTATGATTCCAAATCATTTTTTCATATCTGTATTATCAATGGAAACTCTAGCTTTATTAATTATGTTTGGTAAATAAAAATATACTTCAAGAAATGCAAAAAAACAATATAGTGAATAAAATTGCGTTCATAAATATTAGATAAATATTTGTATAAGCTCTGATATTGTTATGTTAGCAGATAAATTTCATCTTGATTCAATGAAATTTGGAAGAGAATTTATATTTTATTAAATATATCATGTCATCTATATTTATATTAGATTTAAATTTAAAATACTGTATGCTATAGATAGGTGTGTTTGTTTTCTATAATATCCCTGATAATAAACAACCATTCTTCACTTCCTTCTGTGTTGACATGAAAAGAAGTCAAAATAACATGAATGTGGCCCTTGGGAATTTTGTGCAGCAAATTCAAAATCTGTATTCAATAACGTTTCCCTAATATATCATAATAATGAAGTGTTGACAGGTAATGGAAACAGATATAGAGGATCTATTTCCCTTATACTTAACTCCTATTACTCAAAAGAGGCTAAAAGGTCTAATAATTGAATATGATATTGGAACCCCATCATCTACTTAGAAAAAGGAATGTGTATATTTATATCACACTTTCATCATAACTCTCTCTTACAAGTTTTCATTTTCTAACCAATGTTTGTGTCCAACTAGTAATCCTACAGCCTCACCCTGTCCTACATATTGAAATTACAGGGTTACACGCTCAGGCCCGGGTAAAACCCAATCAGTTATATTCACATGTACACCTCAGTAAGCAGGAATTAAACTAAACAGTGAATGCAGAAAAGTAAACTGTTTTGTTATCAATAAAAATTGAAACAAAGTTGTGAGTCAAAATTAATATTAACTTTATAAGTGGTATTTTGGGCAATTAGATTAAAACATGGACTTATCAAACATATAAATTGGATAGCTATGTTGACCAGCGAGCAAACAGCTGTTCAATTTCCCTTTGATCTCCAAAGCCATCCTAACAGTTATACACATTAGACACAGAATAACATCTATAAAATATTCTGGTGTGAGAGGACATTGTGAATGAGAGTTGTGACATTTTCCTTGTCAAATAAAAAATCACCTGGAGAGACAGGAAGGGCATCAGGAAAACCAAGACAATCTCCTTCTCAGACTCATAATACTTACACCCCACAGACTGACATTTCCAGATCCAGTTCATGCAATTGTCACAGCATAAAGGATAAGTGTTTATGAAAGTAAGGTCGTTTTAAATCTAAGGCAAAACTCTTTCAGCATGTGCATACTTAAAATATGCCTATTTAATGAATATTAGTGATATATTAAACTGTACTTTAAGTACATGAAAAAGAACAACCTTTCCACACTCAGGAGAGTACCATTTAGGCAAGTCTGACTTAGTTTGCGTTTACAGTTAAAATGTCCTTAATTATCTAGACTGTAGATATCTGGATAACCTTTGATTGTTTTACAGAAGTCAAGGAAGGAAATTTACAACTCTCAAATAAAAATCAGTTTACCTGTAAAATTGCAACCTCATTACGAAGCTGACTTTCTTGTTTTGTTGGAAATCTTAATTTGTCAATAATTTTAATAGCTACATCTCTTCCTGTTTTACGATGTTTACCTGTAAAATACAAATGAGAAACATAAAAAATTAATTAATTAGCAACTTAAGAGATACACATAGTGCAAGTGTTGGTCATGTAAACTACCTTGAACTTCTGTTACTTCCACACCTTTTCTTACCAGTGTCCCTTGTTCCTGAATCCTGCTCTCAAAGGTCTCACTGGTCCCTCAGGTGGCCTCCCGTCACATTGTATTGCTTTGTTTCCGTGGTTTTACTTTCTCAAACATCAGTCCTCATGTCTTGGCTCATACAGACTCTACTTCATCTCAGCAATTTACCGCAGCTTGAGAGCTGCTTGTAGCCCCGACCCCTGTCACTGTGGCCATCACTCACCTCACTCACCTCACACTATCCTCATTGCCTCCGTCTCTGCTCTTAATGTTTCCATGCCCTATGTGGAGCTCCACCCCATTACAGAGAATCATTCAGGTCCTTCAGTAGCCAGTGTTCCAAACTATCTTGAGTTTGCTGGTCTCTTACACTACTAACAACCCCTGCCTCAGCATCCTACTATGAGCTGTGACATATATTTACTAGGTCCAATCTACCATTAATCATTTTTATTCTGTAATTATTACATTGTAGAAAAATAATCTAAACGTGGTCTCTCTTATTACAGTACGAAATGTTAAGACAGTGGTTACTACTCACGTTCTCAGTGGTTACTGCTTATTATGTTTTCATTAAATATTATGGTATTTTTATAAAATTCAAAATCCCTTTGAAGAGTAAAGCAACTTAAATTTTCATTTTTTAAGTTCTGTATTTAGAGTTCTCATAATTTTATGATCAAAGTACATAGTAAGTAAAAGTGTTAGACATGATTATTTTATAAAACAACAACCCACAAAAATAATGTGCTACTTACCAAACCAAGAAAAGTTAAGATGTAATTTTTTATAGCAGGTAAAAGTTTAAAGTTAAATGTTACTTAAAACCTTGAAATATTTGACTGAACTGTCTAGGATCTCACCATTGGCCCTGAAAAGTTAAAGTATTCAGATCCCATGAACTGGGCACACTATAAAATGTGTTAGAGCACAAGGATTCTGGCTTTAGTGGCAAACAGCAACTGCAAGAGTTTGGTCCAGAGTGCTGAAAGAAATGGAGCAGCTTTGTTTATAAACTAAAGCTTTGATTTTCCATAACATTTTGTCTAAATAAATAAATCAAACTGCTTCAACATTGTAAGGAGGGTGTGAGAAAACATAACAAAACAAACTTCTCTGGAATAGGAACCCCTTAAATTCACCAGCTTTTCAAAGAATGGCCGTCTCAGGAGAAACTTCCCCCAAGGTCTCTACAACACCCAGGTACAGACAGTGCAGCTTTCTTGCTGTCGTTTATATTTCTCTTGGTAATATAACACTTTTATGTACTGTACAGTTACCTACATTTTTATGTTCATAAGATACTTCTTGAATACTCACCTCCATAAACAATTCCAAACTGTCCAGAACCTAGAACTTCATCAGGAAAAATTTGATAGACTGTGCTGATGTCCTACAGGTACAAGCCCAGAGAAAAACAAAGAACAGCTTTAATCCTATTACATTTTATGAATATAATGACTATTACCTTGTTAAATATAAGTATAATTAAATATTCCAAAGGGCATTTAATGCTTGTAAATGTTGGATAAAATTTCAATGTCTATAATATTCAAATTACATTAATATAACATTTTGAAAACCTCTCCTGTTAAGTGCTTTAAGAGACAAGGGGGCACCTAAAACCAATCAATGGCATTTACTATAAAGTGGATTCTTCTCTTTGCTCTTTGTAATTCAGAAATTTTGTTAACTAGCCCACGGTCTCATACATGTATATTACAACCCTATTTCACCTTGTGGTCAGAACAGTGAGGCTGTTCCAGGTTAGGTCTAATTCTACAAGAGTCTAAGCTATACACAACAACCATTCCAGAATTTCCAGTTGCTACCTAGATAGCTCACCAGCATTAGCATTTGTAAATAACAATTGCTGAACTGATAGTGAGCTAATCTGGGCTTCAAAATCCAGTTTTTGGTAAGCATCTTCTGGGAAACAGTACAAAGCTTCTACTTTTTATTTACCTGGTACTGAACGTCCTAAGACACTTTCTGCCTGTTTTCAACCCTAACACTCTTGATTCTTTTTTTTAAAAGCATTTCAGCCACACTCTCTGCTCTGTAAGCTTGTGAAGCTCCCTTTGGAGCATCCAGAAGTTTAGATCAAAACTGTCTGGCAATAAAAATCATTAATTTAGTAATTTTTTTTTTCTGAAACCAAGCTTTGTCATCTGTTAACAAACGGACTCTTTAGAATTTCTCTGAAAATTAACTTTAAAAATGTCAGTGGACAACCATGGCTGACTAAGATAAAATGCCTGTGTGATCACGGGGGAACTAACCAGGAAGCTTTAGAGTAATCTGCATGTCCCAAGCTCCTCTCTGTGTAAGCAAAGGCAGCAGGAACCCGCAGTGTTGATATCTGCATCTCAGGACAGACAGCCCAAGCATCCATTTAGCCTTCACTATGAAGGTGTCTCTTGTAATTCATCTGTTCAGTTTAAACCAGGTCATCAAATATTCCAAGGACGAGAGTAGTACTGAACAGACATTCATGGAGTTTGTTCTATCAGGTCACTGTAAGAAGGATGGGAAGGTGCTCTCCTTGGGCCTTCAGTACAGTGAGCAAATAGTTGATGTTGTTGGTTATGGGGATAAGGTAGGGAAGGCCTTATTCTATTTTAGGTGTGGACTACAGAGATGAAACAAACACAATAGATGAAAGCAAACACAATAGCATGTAAGACATCTTACAACATGATCTGTAACTTCCAAAATGGAAAAGTCTGCGTTACGTGGCACTGGTTGACGGGGGTCCTGTGTTCAGGAACTCTTTTGAGGTCTAGGTTGTGGCATGAATATGTGACTAAGAACATTTGCAACCCTTGCCATTTATCAGCACTCCTTGCTGGCAAAGAAGTAAGCAAAGGCTTGTTTAAGAACTTCTACAAATAAAGTGTTTACGTTATTTGTGTATCTATTTTGTTGTACAGTATGAACCATTAAAATTCAAGTATCATGTGTAGATCAGTGGCACTCCAGCTGTTACTACCAAGCCTGCCACCTTCTTGCAATGTTCTCAGTAAACCATTTATCCTATTTTGGTCTCAAAAATAAGATAAGAATGAAAAATTGTATCACACTACAATGATCTGTTAAGACAAACAGCCTTTGGTACTATATTATGGAATCTAGAAGGATCTGTAAATGATGTACTGTTTATAATATATCATGGAAGAATGTATACAGCAAAATAGAATAAAAAATTTACCATGTGATTCTTTCATTTTTCAGTAATCATATTCTGAGATGTATATTAATAACCACAGACTCACCACATTTTCCTGAATCTGGCAATTTGAAACTGAAATGCTCACAGAGATATCATCTGGAAGTACATGTCAAAAAACAAAAACAAAAACAACAACAACATATAAATAGTTAAAGTATAAAAAAAAAACAGGTCTTAGTGGACTACATTTACAGCAATGACTGAAAAATATCTATTAAAATTTATTATTCACTTTAAAGTTTAAAAACTCTATAGTTTTTAAAAATATTATTTGTGGGCACAGAACTTGGATTAAAAAAGACTTTGGTTCTAATTCTGGCTTTGCTTCACAGCAACTCTGTCAGCTTACAGACAACTAGCTTTCTAGAAATTAATTGTTTTGGCAGGAACATAGGCAAATCATTAACTAATGGGGTTTCAGAAATTAAAATAGAGGTCTATGATTAAGTGCTCAGTTTATATACAGATACATTTTTTATTTTCAGAATAAGCACATATATCCTATTAATATACTGACTGAAGAGAAAAAAGATAATTAAAACAGATCAGATATAATATAATGTTAAAATAGGTTAACCTGCAAGTTGCATGATTAATAACTATGATGGAATTTCAGATCATAATTTTATATAGATATTCCTCTATATTTTTTAGTTCATCCTCAATATTTCATCTTGATTATACTATGGCTGAATTTATTTTACTAAAATGCAGAAATTTCTTCCTGGGATAATGTGATCAAGTATTAACAATGTGGTCTGTGGCATCGAAGGCTGTTTAGTATATAGGTTAACCTTCACTTTATAAAAGTTATAATATAAAATAAGTACAATAATTTAATGAATGGAGTATTTTAGTAGGCATAGCAGCTTCTCTTCAGAGATTCCATGTTGTCCCACAAACCAAGAGAAACACAGAGAGTGTGTCTTCATTGTCTCATTGGGGAAAGCAGACCGTTTACGGGACCATCAAGATGGACTCCATGTCAGACTGAAGCCATTGGACTTACTGTGTGAACTGGTTCCTGAACCCGCAGAGGAGCCCTTGGGGATGACAGGCATGAGGGCATGCTGGATGGCCACCTCCCACAGCCTGGCCACATCCGCACCAGTGCCGCTGGTAAGAACACTGTTGTTTGGTGGGGGACTAGAAGGATTGATCACATTTTCTCCCACATAATACACTATGTTTGCTGTAGTTATTTCAAAGCAGTGGGGATTGGCTCCAGTGAGAATTAATGCTGATGGCTTTGCTGGTTCTAGACATAAAATTTCTGATAAAGGAATTTCCTGTGGAAGACAAAGTATAGTAAATGTAGTTTATTAACATCCATGCCATGTAAAAAAGGAAGTCACAAATAGACACAATTTATAGAAAATATTTTATAACATATGTAACATAAAATGCATAAAATTTAATTTTTTTAAAAAAGGCCTTACCATTTTTTCTGAGAATATTTTCTTTCTTTCCCTCTCTTTTTTCTCTTCCTCTCTTTTTTCTCTTCCTCTCTTTCTCTGTCTTTCTCTCCTTCCTTCTTTCCTTCCTTCCTTCCTACCTTCTTTCTTTCTTAATGATACTGTGGCAGGTAGAAGAATCTAGCAGAGCTTTGAGGCAAGTTGTAATTTAAAAAATGTATTTGGGTATTCATGGCTGTTTTTGACTTTCGGTGTTCCTTCAAGTACCTCAGTCAAACATGTTTTGATTCTATATACACTAATATAATATAGTTATATAAGTAGGTGGCTGTTCATTGAGGAAATCCACAGCAATTAGTTTAGAAAGTAGTTTTGTTTTAAATTATGTATGCCTGGATCACTCTTACCCATCTTTTGAGACAGAATCTCTCTCTAAACTCAGGACTTACTGAATGGCTCTAGAAATCTGCCTATATCTGCTGCCTCTACCTTAGGGTCATAAGATATCTTAGACCATGCCTGGAATTATCATCATCATCATCATCATCATCATCATCATCATCATCAGTCCTGATGAGTTAAATATAGATCCTCAGGCTTATATAGTAAGCACTTTATTGAAAGAGTCATTTCTCGCAACCCCAAATAGTTCTTATTGTTATTGTTTTTATGGTGATTAAAATATTAAAAAGATTAGGTGAAGGCAGCATAAAGTGACTAAAGTAATAATTTTATTTTTTCAGTTTAAAAGTCAATAACATTTCCTTGGTAACACAGCTGGGTAACGGGGCCACAAAGAATCAAAGGAACTGAGCTAGATACCACATTTATATTATTTCATGTAGAAAGACAGACATTTGCTGCTAAATAGAAGAATCTGGCCCTTATAATTGCCAGCAGTTGTGGAGGGATGTTTCTACTTGTCACTGTCCGGTACTGGGCTCCTGAGGATCTGAGAATTCATGTAGTGCCTGCATGACCACTGACTCTAGTGAAACCACACGACTCTGCTACAACACTTAGCTTCCCCTCCATTTCCCTCTGCATCCTCCTCCTCTTCACTACCCGGAGCCAGAAGCACTGCGCATGAGTCTGTGGGATTCACAGATGAATGAAGAAAGACAGAGGCCAGCCTTACCTTGTAGTACCGGCTCCCTGTGTCATTCTGGAACAGTGTGATGCACTTGCTGTCCAGCCTCCAGTAATGCCTTTTCCGCTGAAAGAGAAGTTACAGAACTGTGAAAATAGACACGCTTTATAAAAACGAGTGCAGATTCTCAGAGAGAAAATGGGTTTGATAGTGAAAATGTAAGAGCAATAGGCCAAAAAGAGATTCACAATGTGAATCCAGAAGGTGACTGTAATGAACATAATGTGACAAGTTTCTATAGCTACCTATAAGGCTGTGAATTATAATAGAGACACAGGATTAGCATCCTAGAAGTACCTGGTTGCCATTCATATGCACACAATGACTAGCAAAAAAAATATCTCCCATTTTTAATATTTATTTGCTTAAAGAGCCAAAGGAGATTTTGTAGTCTACAAAAAAAAAAAAAAAAAAAAAAAAAAAAAAAAAAAAAAAAAAAAAAAACGAAAAAAAAAAAAAAACAAACAGGGTTTAATATGTGCTTATTCTTTAGAACATGGCAGCCCTGAGGATTCAGCTAGGCATTTTCACTTCTATTCTCAGAAGAATTCTGTATGCTCCATCACTAAATAAAGTTCATTAGATGGAAGGGTTAACTTCATGGTTACAAGTTAACAAAGGTAGAAAAAGGCCCTTGACACTTCCACATTCTCTTCAGCTGGCTCCTGAGCTCATGACTGACTCGGTGGTCAGGTCTTTCTGCCTCAGTACCTTCCATGTGAACATGTTTGCATTTGCATCTTTTCAGAGGCAAAGTCTTAACAGTAAATATACCTTAAAAATTTTCTAGAAGGCCCAAGAAGAAATTGATGATGTTTATTTGAGTCCTGAACTAAATTTTCTCTCCCACAAGAAGGTTTAAATTATAAATGATCAATTGAGGTATACATGTCTCTTTATCTAAAGACACGGCAGAATTCCTATCGGTGGGTAGAGATGAGAAAACTACAATGAAAAGCTCTCAGCAAATGTCAGCTAGTTAAAACTCTGAACCAAGGCTCAAGGATGTACTCTCTCACCAAAATGCACAACTTCCTTATTTAGCATTTGATGATAAGAAGCAAAATGCACTATAGGATTGTCCCACACCTGTGTAGCTAAATTCTTAAGCAAAGAATTTAGGTCTTGAGACTATACGACATCTGTCAGAGTTACCTCTCTGTTCCCAAAAAGGCAGTTTCTTTTAAAGCTCTAGGCCACAGACGGCCATACTGAAAAACACAGCACTGCTTTCATGGCTGCCCTAGAAATGACAGGGAGACATTCCGGTCGCAGGCAGGTATTTTCCAGCAAAGCAGTTCCTTTGCTGGAACTGCTTCGTACAGTTTTATTCTGACCCCATTACTTATTCACCTACAGCAAACATCCAGACAGTGTGTGCTCTGCTGTCCCTCCGCCTCTGCTGGGAGCTCTACTCCCAAGAACTCACATATCCCACAGTCCTCTGAGCACCAGCATCCTGGGGAGCACGTCCGCCTCCTTACCAGAGTGTCCTGGCTGGTGTAGTGCACCATCCATCCTTCCTTCATCACCGTGCTGCTCCTCCTCTTGGTGTGCTTGACAGACTGCACCACCCGCATGAGCGGGATGTTGTTGCTCGTGGAAGGGCTTGAGAAGTCAAAATATGTTAGCACAGAAATATTCTCACATTCAGATCTCTCCACAACAAAAGCTCATTTAAACTATTTCAAAACAGAAATAAAAAAGGAAAAGAAAAGAAAAGAAAAACCCACATCTCATTTTCAGTGAAATGTTCTGTCAGAGGCTGATGGTTCAGAAAGTGAGTTTCTCAGAAGAGTGACAGGTACTTCAGATGATCCCTTTAAGACTCCCTAGGCAGAGAAAGACTACCCCCCCTCCTTTCACATTGCTCCAGATGGCATTCACATTTTTAGGAAAACAGCAGTGTTTACTCTCAGTGTTTTAAAGACACAGCATGCAAAATCACAGAGAGAAGTTTATAATATGCAACAGGCATAATAATAAATTTATAGATATTGTATTTCCATATGAACTATCTGAATGATTTCTTAAAAACAAAAATGAACCTTGACTTCCCAGTTGAGTTGCCTTTTACATAGCTAGTATTCTTGGGATTATTCTAATCCCCCAGCCCCCTCCATTCTTCCATCTACTTCCTCAAGTCCTCAGGTGCAAAAGAAATGCATGTTCTTCACATGTGAAGCCAGGTCACAAGACTAATACTCCTCACTATCAAAGAATAGTTACTGCAGTAAATGGAAGACATGCAATATATCCTTTCATGATCGGAGTTAATTTTAACCTGTTAATAAATTTGCCATTTGTAAAATGGACAAAAAACCCGTGGTGGTATGGTTTTCAAGGTCAGTTAGAATGGAAAACTTAAGTCTGTAAGGGGTCAGGTGGTGAAGCTCTTGGGTTCTGCAGAATTTGCCACTTAGACATTGCAGTGTGGAGGCAGCCACAGGCGATGGCTGCAGTGAGATTCAGGAAGATGGCAGCAGTTCCATTTGACCTGGTGGCCATGTGGACTGCTAACATGAAAAATGAAGGTCATCCAGGGCTAATATGAAAAATGTAGATAATAGATAGAAAATTACACATATTTCTGAAATAAAATGAAGAACAATGAGATTCTTCATTTTACCAAGAAACAATGAGGTTCTTTCATATCACCGAATGTGATATTTATAATAGGGGACAGTTTTGAAGTAAGTGATTTCTACTGAGGTTAATCCCTGATTATTGCATTTCCTCACAATGAACTCTAAGCTAATATTAACTATTGACCTCACAGTGACCACAGCAAAGACATGCATCCCTCAGACACAAGGGAAATGGCCCAACAGACAAATAACACTAGGACTGACACGGCACTTCTCCAGGGCCACTAGCTTCCTGTCTCCACAGGCTTTCCTCCACACTACACAGTTCTTCATAACAAAGTCAGGCACACTCTGTTTCATATACGGACTAAAATACCTAAGAGCTGGAGTCCTACGGTGGTTCTGACCTGATGGTTCTGTTGGAGTCCTCCTGCTCTGCATCTGGATCCTGCATCTCCACACCATCACTCTGGCCCTCGGCCCCCGCCATCTCAGCATCCTGGACCAGAGCCTCTTCCATGTCGTCCATGAGTCCACTGTTCCGCTCACTGTCGTTGTCGTCACTTCCCTCTTCCATGACGATATCAGATTCTGCCCCAGGGCTAAGCAACTCTACACAAGGTTTTGGACCCAAAGAGTTAAGTCTGGAATCTTGGAACTAGTGTTTAAGGGAAAGGCAATCCTACCAAATTAATTACAAGCCCTCCCCGGCAACTGAATCCTGCAGAAAATTTATCTTTCCATTTTTTCACCTTTATGTGTGGCATGTGAATGTATGAAACAGTAGACATAATTTCACAGCCCAAGGCTTTCTCCATGTCTCCAAGGCAAAAAAAAAAAAAAAAAAAAAAAAAAAAAACCCAAAACAAAACATTAAAAATGAAGAAAGAAATAAAGCTCAGGAGCACAGAGCTTGGAGACCTCGTCCAGGCACAAGTGACCAGAAAACTGAAACTATTTTATAGGACAGGCATGCTGGGAAAAGAAACACTGTTGGTGTTGGGTTCACATGAAAGGGGTCACCTGTAAGCACTACCGCAGCTAACTTTTTAAAATCATGTATCCCAGTATATTAAATTGTTCATATAAGCTATAGCTTTTAAATACCTACAGTCTTTGTTATTTGACTATTAAATCCTATTCACGTACAGTTGATGGTAATGGGAAATTTTTAATTACTCACTAAATGCAAAGTGCTCATTTTAAAATAAGAAAAACAGATCAATCAAGGATTGTGCGCCTCTAAGTGTGGGAAGTTCCCATTTTACCACATTGTTCTGACTACATGGGAAAAATGCATTCTTCAAACCATCAACATCACAAACTTCTCCATTTCCCCTGGGCTCTATTTACAGAGTTCAATTGACATTCCCTGGGATTGAAAAAGAGTGAATATCACAAGCCCCAAAAAGCAGGAAAATCGCCCAGCTTTCATTTTCAATTTTGTTAACTTTGGACCTGTACACTGGAAATCTGAATGCACAAGAATGGAGAGTGCCCTCTTGCTCCCCCCCCCCCCCCCGTCCCTCAAGGTCTATTTCCTCGTGAGTAAATGCAATCATGCATCCTTTAGCTTTTCACAATAACCTATCTGTCTATCTTCCTGGGATTCTGTAACTAGAGGTTCTGGAAGTCTATTGGCGTGAAGATTAAACATTACCAGTTCCCGGTCAATGGAGAAAGGTAGCCTTGGATCCTAAGTCACAGACAGAAGGGCTCTAGCACACTATCTCTGTGACTGTCATGCAGAAAAAATATTTGACCATGAATCTGTCCCTTACCTCCATTGATGGCCACTTCACCCAAGCAGTTGCTCGGTACTTTAGGTGCACAGCGCTTGTGACAGTTGAATCTGCAATCTAATGATGATTTTAAAACAGAATTCAGAAATTCATCAGAAAAACAAAACAACGTGAAACAAAAATATAGTAACTCCAAAAGAGCAATGATGCCTTTTAGGCTTAGAGAGCCCAGCGGCCAGTGCCTGGCGGCCAGTGCCCGCGGCCAGTGCCCGGTGCTGAGCGATCCTCACCTTTGCACTGCAAGCCCTGCCGGAAGAGGCCCTTGAGGAGCTTCTTGCAGAGCTGACAGACCGTGGGCCGCGTGTAGGAGTGGATGACGAAGGTGTGCGGCACCTTCACTTTAGACATCAACATCTTGTCCAGCTGAATGGGCCGTCCAATGTACGGCTGCGAATTCGACCTCTTCTCGCGACCAATGAATGACTCTGACACAGACTTTTGCTGTTTTGGGAAACCATGACGGGCGACAAGGTGTCAGAGGATCGAACTTGATTTAACTGTATTTTAAAGTTTCATTTTGTTTTGCTACTGGATTCAGTGATTTGCTCATTGATACGAGGCAATTTGAAAAATTTCTATTGACTAATGCAGTTTACCCCCTCATTTCATATTTGAGTTACTCTGTATAATCTGAAAAGAGAGAGACCGGAGACCAAAATAGATAAACTTGATTTTTAGGACTTTTAAATCATTTCTTTTCTCTCTCTCACACACACCTTAAAATGTTAACTTAATTACTTTTAACATAGAAAACAAAGCGAATGTTCCTTGATCCCACTTCTGTCTTCCCACAGGAATTTCCCAGATCACCATATTCACATGGATGGAAGTGTCATCAGCTCAGAGAGGGAGAGATGGAAATTCAGTTTCCACACAGTACTTGAGCTGAAAGACGCCTACAGTTTCTTTGGGTTCCCTTGAGGGAAAAAAATTAATGTGATTTTAAATAATTTCTCAATTATATAAAAAGGTAAAAGGCTAAAGTTACATAACCCTTCTTAGAATTAAGAAATATAGCAACTAAATGGGCTTCATGAGGCATATAAATACTGGTATTTAGGGTAATAATAACACCACTGTGCTTTACTGTCTATCATTTGGGGACTATTTAATAAACCAATGTAGATTTTAAAACTGCGTTAACTGAAATGAACTTCAATACCTTTGAACAATTTCACGAACATGTACTTGGGAATATTATAATAGATTTATTTGGAATAAAAGATGAATAGAATTATCCTTAGTGGCCATTGTAATTGTGTGTCTAATTAGTTAAACTTCTACTCTACATGAATAACTATTAGGTGCCTTAAAAGACGGTCCTAGTTATGAGCAGTTTACACACCTAAGCTCACACACTTTAACTACGTTCTTTTACATTGAATACTATCAAAGACTGGAGCTAAAATACAGTACTTATTTGCTGTGAAAACCCTATCTTTTTTATCTAACCAGGTTAATTTCAAAATTGGAACAATTGCTGACAAGTTAAAAATTAAACTCACTTGCATAAAACCTCATCCATTTTAGTCTCTGGCTAACCAAAATCCAATGCTGCTTATTTCTCAATGAATGTACAGACATGCCAGCTGTAGCAAAATGAATGAAATATGAGCTGAGGTTTCTGCTTAGAATATCATGTCCACAGTTACATCCATAATTAGACATCAATGACAGGAAGTAAACTCTTCCTGGTAGCCTGGAAAGGGCCTTTCCTTCTAGCCTCTTTAGTCCAAAGACCCCACCGACCCATAGACTCTCTCCGTCAAGGACTCAAGGTGGCTACCCTCAGCTGGAACTCAGTTGGACTTCCACCATCTCTCCTGCCTTCTGATTACACTCTTACCAGACTTACCCTTGGTTCTGCTGGAGCTGCTAAGCCTAAGCCCCTTCTCCCAAGCCTTGGGCGCCGCTGTTGTAGCAGCTGCATTGATATTTAAATCTCAGCGGAAAGACCGATTTTACCAGGCCTTCACTGAAGTCAGGGAACAATTTCCAGACTGGCGCCCGGAAGTGTAACCTGAGATACAGGGAATCAGTGAAGGACCCCAGGGGTGTTGGCGAGCTCAAATCATTAAATCAAAAAGGCGCGGTGAGTAAATCCGAAAATAAAAATGGGACAAGGCAGTAGCCTAATGTTTTTTTGTATGGAACTTAATTAAAGATAGTCTGTATATGCGGCAGGAAACTGAGAAAGTTAAACTGTCAGGCTCAGAGAGAAGGAGGTTAGAAAGATGGCAGGCTTCAAGACAAAATGATATTAGACCATCAGCTCCTCCAGAGGAGTTGTATTTTCCTCCTGATGACAGTAATTTCTTGTCAGAAGGAGACTTTGAGGAAGACTTACATCCTGATGAGGTTGCAGAGTTGGAGGAAGAACCAGATCAATATTATTCTGAGACATACCCTCCGATTCAGGCTATGCATGTTAAAAAGTATACGCCTTGGATAAAAGAAATTAAAAGATTGGAATGGGGCTTAGAGGAAATAAACAAAAAAAAATGGAGAATTAACTACTAGAGAAAATGAGGCTCAATCCCCCACTCCAACTCCATCATTGGTTGCAGGCTTGGGCCCTCCTCCTGGGACTGCTATAGTAGTTGTGGCCCAAAAGACAAGGGGACCTTTTCCTTTGTCCACTGTACGGGCAACTATATCTCCCTTACAAGCTTCTTTACAAGAAGCTAGGCAGAATGGAGAAGATATAACCGAGTTTTATGGTTTTCCAGTTCTAGAGCAGCCCGATGGACAAGGTAATATGGCGAGAGTCCATGCTCCTATACCTTTTAAACAATTAAAAGAATTAAAGCTGCATGCTCTCAATATGGTCTTACAGTGCCTTTCACTCAAGCTCTGTTGGAGTCTTTGTCTACTGAGGCCCTTTTCCCAGGGGACTGGAAACAATTAACAAGAGTGTGCTTATCAGGAGGAGATCATTTATTATGGAAGTCAGAATTTGCAGAGCATTGTCAAGTTACAGCTGAACTTAATCGAGCTCAGGGAATTCCTATAACTTATACATGCTAGCTAGAGAAGAAATCTACAGTAAAATAGGACAAACAACAATTGGATTTTGATGTGGCTGTTTATGCTCAGGTAAATGCTGCTGCCCAAAGGGCTTGGAATAAACTTCTACAAGCAGGTAGACAGGTGGAGGATTTGTCTAAAATCTGTCAGGGACCTGATGAGTTGTTTCAAGATTTTGTGGCAAGATTAATGCAAGCAGCAAACAGACTTATAAGTGATAAAAATTCTGGATTATTACTGGTAAAACAATTGGGTTATGAGAATGCTAACATTTCCTGCCAAGCAACTTTGATACCCTTTAGAAAGAAAGGAGATATTTCTGATTATATTAGGTTATGTTTTGACATTGGGCCATCTTATACTCAAGGAGTAGCTATAGCTGCAACCCTACAAGGAAAAACTATTTAAGAGGCAGCTTCTCAGTTTTTCCAGTAAAAAAACTAATGGCTAATTCTGCTACAAAACTTCAATGGTCATAAAAAAAATTGTATTCAACAAATAAAAAGATGTTTTGTCTGTCTTGAAGGTATAAGTTTACCATATTCAGTAGGTCTTGGATAACCAAGATTATTGGTCACTGGCTATGTTTAAAATCTGTAGCATAAAGTTAACTTACTTAAAACCTAGGGATAAAAACCATTCTAAACAACAAATGAACATTACTCATATCCCAAAATTTTAAAAACTAAAATGTTTTGCTACAATGGTATTTCTTCCATTATAAAGACTAATAACGGTACGACATATATTAGTCAAGCTTCTCAACATTTCTAAAAATCATAAAACAGGTATGCCATACAATCCTTAGGCTAAAAATTTATGGAGCCTGCCCATGGATCTCTTAAAAACCAACTGCAAAAAATAAAAAAGGGGGAGTCATATCCCCATATATTAATCATCTTCTCTTTATTTAAAAAATTTTTGAATGTGGATATACAAGGCCGTTCTGCGGCTGATTGATTATGGCATCCTAATACCAAAGATAATTATGCCCAAGTAAAATGGAAAGATCTGATTACTGGAATATGGCAGAGCCTTGACCCCGTATTAATATGGGGAAGATGGTATGTTTGTGTTTTTTCACAGGATGCAGAAAAAGCCAGGTGGATCTCAGAAAGGCTGGTGTGATTTGCAGGAGTTGTTCCCCAGAAGCAGGATGTTCCAGCTGCAGACAATCGTGAATTCTGTCATGACTGAAATTGAAAAGCTGCATTGGACTTAAGCTACTGACCCGCCTGATACATTCTACTCCTGGGAGAAGATGTCATGCAGAGAAACCTCTTATACAATGGACTGGACTTGATTGTTCTGTTAATGAGGACAATTCTCAACAAAATCAGGAAAGATAAAAAAGAGGACTGACTATGAAACTTTGGACTGACTCTGGTTTTCAGCAGACCAAACAAGCTGCTTCAGAAACTCTTGGCAGGTCCTGTAACTGCCTATGTACAGTTTTGCTTTGTTGTTTGGAAATGTTAACAAGATTCAAATTCTAAAGTGTCTTGCCATAAATGTAAACTAACAAACTGTATTTGTAAGCTTTCAAATGTTTCTGATTGTTCCACAGCCTTTTACTATGGTTCCTGTTAATGTTTCTCAGACTTGTTATTTACACAAGGAGTCATTGTTAAGTCACTTTTATGGAGTGTTATTTTGGACTTGGCTTGTGATAGGAGATGTGCTCCTATCAATGACAATTAAAACCTGCCCGAAGGCCTTTTAGAATGTTAAAGCTGAGCTGATGGGCATAAGATTAAACCCCAGTGTCTACCCTAGCAGAGGTTGGTAGTTAATGACAGTTAATGTTTCTTTGGGATATATTCAACCCAAGATGGGGCATGAATGAAGGAATTCATGTACCAATGACAGGCAAGAATATATCTTACAAGAAACAACCTAAGACAGGCACAATCTTCTGCTCCATGGCTCTTAAGTTATGGTCAAATTTTAAAAAAATTAAAAAGGGAGACCTGTTCTAGCAGCTGCTTTGATATTTAAATCTCAGCAGAAAGATTGGTTTTACCAGGCCTTCACTGAAGTCAGGGAAGAATTTCCAAGTCCATTTCCTTTTGTTTGTGACAGCAGGTGGGAGAGCTTGTCAAAAATCACACCTCTTGTTTCACTTCCTTGTGAATTTAATCCATTGTGCTGAGCTGCTTTTACTCTGGCTTAAAAGCAGTCTGAAAAAAAGCCAGGGGGCTGGTGGAGTCTAGTCTCCACTAGAGCCTCTCGGAAAGGTCCCATATGTTGTGTGTTAGTTTATTAATTTTAATCCTCACTCCCGACTCAAGAACCGTTCCACAATGCTGTGGGCTCCGGCACTCAAGTACCCTAATCCCCTCTGGACACAGTCTCATGATGCAAACCCAGGAGCCCAGCAGCTCCTTCTGGTGCCCATTCAGTCTTTTTTCAGC